TTTTTTTAAATGGTAACACATATTTTTAATTTAATAAAATGTTTGAGTTTTTAATTTAATAGTAAATGGCATTTGAATTTTTAATATAACTTTATTAGCTTATTAGATATAAACATTTAAAGTTTCAAAATTTTGAGTTAATATACATGTATAATACACATGGGATTGTAAATACAGGTAGCTAATTGGATTTTTATGACATTGCTGTCTCAGTCACGGATTGTTTATTATCAATTATGATTATCAATAGATATACTTTCTGTATTGTCAGTTAGTGTATTTATAAACTCATAACAATGTGCCTTACTACAATTGATAATAACAATGCTGTGTACCTGCTAATATCGATGTTATAAAAAACCAATTAGCTACCTGTATTTGTAATCCCTTGTGTATTATACCTGTATATTAATTCAAAAATTTGAAACTTTAAATGATTATATCTAATAAACGAATTAAGTTATATTAAAAATTCAAATGCCATTTACTATTAAATTAAAAACTCAAACATTTTATTAAATTAAAAATATGTGTTACCATTTAAAAAAACAAAGTTGACCCCCTTCCAAGGCATAAGGGATGAACTTAAAAAGTATTACATAGTTAAAAATTCAAGAATAATGTGTAACTAAAAATAATAAAAAAAAAAAATGTTTAAATTATTATTATTCTGCAAGTAATTGAGTGGGTTATGATAAAAAAATCACCCTGTATATTAATTCAGTTTTTATTAGCGTAAAAATTGATAGGCTACCTGTACTTATAAGTTTCAATGGTAATGAGCAACTTCTTGGCGTTCCTTTTATTAAATCAAGTACAGGAAGAGAACAAGCTTCAGCAATTCATAGTTTATTAGTAGAATGGGATATTGGACATAAAGTTCAGGCTATTTGTTGCGACACAACAGCCTCTAATATTGGGAGATTACAAGGTGCTTGTATTATTTTAGAGCAATACCTCGAAAGGGACCTTTTTTATACTTACAATGTAAGCACCACATATTTGAAATAGTTTCAAGAAGTGTATTAGATCAAAAAGTTGCTTTATCTAGTGGACCAAATATACCATTGTTTAAAAAATTTCAAAAAAGTTGGCCACAGATTAAAGACTGTAAAATAAATCCAGGTTTAGAAATTATTACGGTTAAAACACAATTAAACGGCTTAGAAAATGAATTAATTTTGTAATTCATTTTCATTTGTAATAATTCAATGGCATTTTTTTGATGATCAAATACCTGTTGAAATAAAGAGACTTATGGTAAAATCATTACAAGCTAATGAATGTGAAGACTTAAAAAAAATTAATCCGCAAAGAAATATAAAACATTTTGTAAGTAAAACTATTGACAAGTTCATTAATGCATACTCAAATAATTTTTTTAAACGTTTTGATATGAAAACTAGTTTTTTAAGCGAAGATCCCGAACGATGGAATGTAAATATAGATTATCTAGACTGTCAAGAAATAGTGCGAAGTTTAAAAGTTGTAAACGATACTGCAGAAAGATCAGTGAAATTAATTGAAGAGTATAACTCGATAATTACTAAAAAAGAAGACCAAAAGCAATACTTGCTCCAAGTTGTTGCAGATTATAGAAAACATTTTCCTGATGCAAAAAAAACATATTAATGAAATAATAATGATTATTTAATAATAATTCATAATAAATTTCCATAATATTTTTTTAGTTGTGTTTTTTTTATAATTAAAGTTTATTTTTATTATTTATTAGTTTTATATTATATGTTTTAATCAGTTGTATGTTATAAGACCAAGATTTAGAATTAGAAAATATTTTACTAAACAATATTTGTACTTAATTTTCAAATCTAAATTTTATAAATTATATAGATTTTGTAAAAATTTGTCGATTACGCTAATAAAAACTGAATTACGCAAAAAATTAGAATCGGGAAAAAAGGCATATTTATGTGTTTTATTGATTATTCAATTAAATATGCAATATAGAGTAAAAAATAATACGATATATTTTATAGGAAATACATTTTTAAACAAATTTTATTCCGTAAATTTTTTTGATTCATGTCGGCGAACAAAGAGGCAGGTAGTTCGGACCGGTTGACCTGCTGCCTAGCGTCACAGAAGGGATTGGTACTACCTACCAGGCTGAAAGGTAATGAGGGCGGCTTGTAGTCTCAACGACGGTCAGTGTTCAGAATTAAGTAGATGAAGAAGGACGCAGCAGATATTCCCCCTTTGTTATATTTCATATTTATTTAATTGTGTTTCATTTTGTTATAAGTTATTTTCTTAATAAAGCAAGACAATTTGTGTTTGACCATTCACTGTAAGTAAGTTTGTTTTTTATTTTATTGCATAGAATAAATTTGTCTACAATAGACAAATTTACACATAACACAATATTATTTAGAGCAATTCTAAATAAGTTAACTGCATGAGTTCACTTGCGCACAGCTACATTGGGCATAATTTACATAATCAGAAAGAAATAATTAGAGTGTGGTACCTTAACTGTATTTTAATTATTTCTGTTTTATAGTCATTGTTGTCGGCGCACTGCGGTGGTCGATTGACGTCTAGGGTACTCGTGCAAGGCGGTACTCTACTGTTATATGTCGATGGTACTCTGCGGATATCACGACATGTTAAGGGCTATTTACGCAATACTCACAGATTAAGCTACACGACATAACGCATATAGTATTACTTGTTAACCAGCGTAGGTTACTCATGCAGTTAGGTTATAACGACATTTGATATATTTTACACATGGTAGAGTTTCATACTCTGTTTTTTATTATTTTATGATTACAGTCCACTCACGAGCATTAACAATTCAAGTAAAATTTAACAAATTATACGTAAAAAACTAATTTTTACCCTAATTTATTAAATTTCAACCCTTCTGCGGCACGGGAAAAAATCATTGGACAATCACGAAACTTCACAAAATGTATTTTTTTAACCTATAGAATAATTCTAGAGGGCGTCCGAGCAAAAAAAAAAACTTTGAAAAATAAGAGCCGCCCAAATATATATTAATCATGTTCTTCTTCCTCGCTTTAATCCCAACTACTTGTGGTCTTCCACCCTTATCCTAAATTTCCACTTGACACGATCTCCCACATCAGCAGTCTTCATATTGCAACTTCCATCTCTTTTTTGGACTTCCTCTACCTTTTCTTCAATCAACATTCATATATTTTATTATATACAAAAATTTAATATTGTAATTTTTACGGAAAAACCATAAAAATGATAAAGTAGTATATTTTGTTACTTCTATAACAAACATGTATACAAATAAAAAGAGTTTAATGCAATACATTATAAAAAAAAATTGTTGTTACTTATGAATTAATGATACATTTGTCTACAAAGAAACATTTTAAATTAACTTTTCGCGCTGTTTTTAAATCTGAAATTAGACTATTTCTATCACTTTATAGTTTTGATATTATTACTAATTATTAAAAACTGAATATTAAAATATAAAAAAATAATAAAAAACATAAAAAAATTGTTTTTTTAATTATAAATGGTTTTAAATTTTATTATGTTAAAAATAATTAGTGCAAAATATCACTTTAACCTATTATTTTAGAATTGATTTTTATGAAAGATTATAATTAAAATAAATTTAATTTGTTACCATGATTTTTAGTTCAACTTGCAAGTTTGAAATTGACATCATTAAATAGAAAATTTTATGAGAATTAAAAAATAAGAATTTTCTTCTTATGGTGTGACTACAGTGATTGGGTCCTTAATAATCATTAAAGTTATAATATCTAAATGAGATAAAATTAAATGAATTTTGAATTTTTTTCTAACTCAAAAAGAATTGAGAAAAAAATTCATAATCATCCAATCCCATTTGGGGTTAGAACTTCTTACTACTATTGTTAAATACATAAGTGTTACCGACTGGGTAACCGTACGTCTAATATATTCGATAGATAAAAATGGCAATATAAGCTAGTTCAATTTTTTAATTTATTTTTCTCGACTTAGCAGAATCAAAAAAATTTAAATAATTTTAACTCTCTATGCTAGGTCAATTAGATTTGTATAATATTTACGAAAATCAGTGTACTACATTTGTAAGTCATCTTAAAATAAAATAAAATACAAAACACAGAATTTCAACACAAAAATAACATATTTTTGAATACAGTAGCCATTTTCACTATATAGACAGTTATATAGTCTAAATTTTANTTTTATAGTGATTTTAATCACTGTCAGATATCATTATACTTGATCCATCTATACCACGTCACCACTGTGCTGGGTTTTTTTATTTATTTAAATATATTTCATACACTTTAATTTAATATATATATAAAAGTATCAGTATTTCCATACAACACTTTCAAAAGTTAAGTTGAAAATTTTATCATTTTGAATCTCTCCTTGTGAGCAGGTAAAGGGTGAGATTTTCAAAAAAAATATACCAAACAATAGATAAATATTTATATCTTGTATCTTATACTAAAACATATTTTTTTCAGCAAGTTATGGAAGTTTTAAGTAAAATAAATGAAAAAATGTCGAAAATTATAGATTTTTAAAGTTGTAATTTTTTTGAGGGATTTCCCCTATATACGAGGATGAAGTAATTTTTTCAACTCTGAGGTTAATGTCTTCAACTAGATACGATTTATGATCTTTTGACGTATTGTTCATTAAAATCAGACCAGTGAGAGCTGAGAATAAGTGGTAACAGACACAAAAAAATTAACACATCATAATAAAAAGATTAACATCGAATCTAAATATTACTAACATTAGTTATAAATATATATATATTTAGTATAAATATTCATTTATTAATATAACTGTTTTAATGGTATTCTTGTAAGTTTTTGAATGATAATTGAGTTTTGTTATTTATTATTGTTAATAAAACTAAAAATAAACTTTATCCGGTATATATTTATATCAATTTAGTGATAAAATTCTAAAGCAACCGCGCAGTATAAAATATAAATAAATGAAAATATAAAATGGAATGCCAAACAACTATATTATTTATTAACATGTTATTACATATTATTTTATTGTTTTAGTTTTGGTACAATAATATCTTTATTTTCAATCATTAAAAATAAATTTATGTGTGAAATTTTGTAGTATATGTCTTGAATATATAATTTTAATAGGTTTTCCAGAAAACTTTTTATTAAAGATTGTACATTTTACTGAATTTCCTCACAATTTGTAATAATTAGTCATTTTTTTTATGAAAACTTGAATATAAAATCTTATAAAAAAAAAGTTCTGTCTTACTATTTCTTCAATTNGAATATAAAATCTTATGAACAAAAGGTTTTGTCTTACTATTTCTTCAATTTTTTCTTCGGCTTGGATGACTTAGGTGAATTTAATTTCTGAGATGAACTTTCACCAATTAATCCTGTAGGATCCAACTTTTCGTCAGTTGATTTATTGTCATAATCTTTTGCTGGAAGAATAAAAATATTTAAAAATACATTTAAATCACATTTAGACTTTTATAAAACATTTCTTTTTCGATAAATCAGTATTTTCTTCGTAGTTTTGTTTAAAATTATATAATATATAATTATTTTTCAAGGAGTTATGGAGAATAGGTTTTTAATTGGAAAAAATATTAATTAGTTATTAAGGTAGGATTACCAATACTACAACTCATTTATTGTGCGAAACTCATATGAATAAAAAAGTTTGGTATTCCTTATGTTAAGTTTCTTCAAAATAAAAGTATTATAATATACTATTAATATTATAACATTTATAAGTTAAATTATAACTTATAAATAAGCAAATATTTTATTTATGTCAAAGTTTCAAAATAGTACACAGTTAAGATAGAATGAAAAGGTCCTACTCGTGGATTCTTTTCATTTTCACCGATATTTTTCAGAATATTTTCATTAAACATGAAATCAACGAAAAATTATTAATCTAGTTTTGTTGCATTTCATATATTATTTTGAAAAACGATTTGCCAAAAAAAAAAATTAATTATAATAACAATATATTTTATAACTTATATGTTTAATTTAAATCACTCCTTAAAAAATATTGAATTTTTGTCATATTATTTATGTAAAAATTACAGATTATCAATATATTATCGTCTGCGTGGCAAAATCGTGTATCTTGATTTTTTAAAACTCATAAGCAAAAATATAAGTATCCCATTAGTTAATAATAGACAAAGAATTTTTAATACTCAATTATCTTTAGAATTAATAAAGATATTTTATTCCAAAACATTTAAAAATTTCCCAATGTAATAAGTATGAATTTCTCGAAAAAAATAATAAATTTTCATAGACAATGACAAACTTAAATGTTAAGTTGTTAAATGTTCAACTACATTGTATAACTAAAAAAAAATATTATGTGTCTATTTCACCTTTAAACTTTTTAACGAATAATTTCAATGAAAAATTTTACCTTGTTCAAGAAAGTTCAATAATTCTTCGACTCCGGTCTCAGTTTTCTTTTTTTTTTCTATTATGAAATAAATAGTTATTAAAATTTGCGTGGTGTATAATATATACTTGTTAATCACCTATCAATTTTTTTATAACTAATTTTCCCGATTCCCCCTTTCTTATACCTTTTTTTTCCGGAATAGTATTCTTCATTACAAATTTAATAGTAATTATTGATATTATCATAAAAAAAAAACTTCAATGCATTGTGCATAAAGAAAGGCTTTAGAACAACTGTTGAAGGATAATATTGTAATCAACAAGATATGATTGGGTTCATTTTATAAATTGATCGACAATACAATATATGTGTATATATTATATTCCATTAAAATTATATAAAGGAAAGGAAATAGAATAGTTTGCAATGTACATCGCACATTATAGTAAAATTACTAGGTTTGCATAAATGCTACAAAATAAAATTTTATTTTTTACAGAAATGAAAAATAGAAAATTCTATAGTGAACCACTATATCTATCAACATTTCTTATGGTATAGATAAATTTAATGTTTTATTTTGCTAATGAGCGCGCGTTCGTTATATCCGGCCGTGTAATCAGAAAACTGCTGTCATTGTGAACACTATACACACAATATTCTTTATCAAGTTAATAATCGTTTCCTAAAATGACACATACGCTAGTTTCCAGTGTTAATACTGTGTGATTTTAGTACTATTTATAATTTCATCTTATTGATATTCAATAGATTGTTAGGTCGACACCCTCTCCAGAACCGTCATCGTTAACGGTTTGTCTCGTCCGAATGTGTCAAAAAAACACAATCTTCTCATTGAATTATCGTAGAGATATTTTGCTGTGTGCGTGCAGCCAACTCTTTTCGCGTGTGACCGATATTTTAAAATATATTGTAACTTTTTTAGGCGTCTATTTTCGAAATCCACATCTTAGCATGTGTTCCTTCAGAGACATAGTATCGTATCATTTTTATATATAGTAATAATGTTTTGAGTATTTTTTATTTAATTTTATTAAATTAATTATATTAGAACACTGATGTATTTACGTACATCTCTAGAATGGAATAATAAACAAGAATAATTTTATTGCCTGAATTAATTCAATATTCAATATTCACGTGTATCTTATATTTTCCACCTCTAATTATTTTCTTTAATTCTTAGGTAACAATCTTCGACATACTAATGTGTCTCTACCACTGGTGACATCAATCAAATTATATTTTGTTTTATTTACAAGGTATCGGCGTATTATAATCTGCAACAACTATTTACATTTTGATGTATATATCTTATTATACAATAAAATATTTAAAAATTACTTTACGACGAATGAATTTCAAATATTTAAAAAAAATAAATATCAGAATAAAAAAGGCATAAAAATAAAATTGTTTAAATTTAAACTATAANTAAAAAACCCAGCACAGGGGGGTCGCGGCACAGTGGTGACATGGCATAGATGGATCAAGTATAATGATATCTGACAGTGATTAAAATCATTACCAAAAAAAAACGCTTCGATGTAAATCTTTAGATACTGTTTAATTTTAAAAAATTGGTGGACTATCCCAAAAGCTACATGATCTGCTAGTTCATTATTAATATCCTAATTAAGATAAAGTATGTAGAATGAAAAAGGGATTATTAAAAAATATTATTTCTCATAAAAAANCGATTAAGATAAAGTATGTCGAATGAAAAAAGGTTTATTAAAAAATATTATTTCTCATAAAAAAATTGTGTGGATCCATACACTTTTCAATAAGTCATAGCATTATAAAGTTAAAAATGTAAAAATAAAATCGAGAATTTTCACACAATAATAGCATTCGGTAGCCATTTTCACCCTGAAGATCAAATAAAGTCCGAAATTTTTTTTTCGCATAATAAAGTAAATTACATTAGCTTTAATTTAAGATATATATAAAAGTGTCAGACCTTCCGGAACATTTTCAAAAGTTAAGTTGAAAAAGTTAATTTTTTGTGAAAAAGTTGTCATTTTAAATCCCCCCTTATGGCCAGGTAAAGGGTTAAATTTATGAAAAAAATATACCAAATGAAAGGTAATGATATTATGCATCTATATAAAAAAAAATTATATTGATATGTTTATTTTTGAAAATGTTATGGCACTTTTAAGTAAAAAAAATTGAAAAATTTTCGAGTATTAGCGATTTTTAAATTCGTAATTTTTTTGGAGGTTTCCCCCATTTACGGGGAACGAGGGAATTTTTTTCAATTTTT